CACTCTAGCTTAGTAAAAGTAAAATACTGTTTTTTACTTTTAAGCTTATTCCAAGGAAGTGGATCTTTTCTCCATGTCTGATGATCAACTCAAAGATATAGAACGCCAAAAGGGGGCCGCGTAAAATGACAAGTGGGCGCGAAACCAAAAGGTTTTGGGGCCGCCGTACCAGGAAGGCCATTCCAGTTTCCCCCCCACCAAGGGAACCACCGCTGGAGTGAGTTGGAGCCTTCCGGAGGGGCATTTCCCAATTTTCCCCCCCCACAAAGGAAACCCCAAAGGCTCCCCACCAGGAGTGAAGCGGGGGGGAACTGTGCTGCGGAAAAAACAAAGCCCATTCGTAACCACTCTGTGCTACGTGTCAGGGTTTTACGGAAAAAAAGGACAAACTTAAACCAAAGGGGAAGAATCAGGGAAAAACGCGCGGTGAGAGAGAGAGAATACACGTGGCGGCAAGAAGACGGCCACCAAAAAGTGTAATAAGGTGGGGGGCAGGGGGAGGGGCAAGTTCCCAAAGCTTATTCTAAGGTGACCTTTTAGCTATTAGATCAGATAAGACTCCCCCTATGTAATGGAACTAGTAGAATAGATAATCGACCTATCCCCTATAACTAACGATTGGCATAAACGATACTTTTAGTGTTGTGATTGAAAAACCCAGATGTCTTGCTAATACAACCATCCTAACAAAGGAAATGAGGGGAGAATCTGTGTCGGAAGTGGGGGTGTGTGGCCTCTTCTTCATCCACTTGTTCAGCTCCGTCATTTGCTTCTTCCATTCCGCTGTAGCAGTGGTGGAGTCACAGAGGAGCACGTGGAGGTGTCTTCATCTTCGAGTCCGCATCGCGGACAGTTGCTTGGTCTTGCCACTTCTTCGAAGTTGCATCCGTCCGACCCCGCAGTGTCTGAGGCGTTTTGGTTCACCACGTTTGTGGCCAAGGGGCTGCTTCTGTGTCCCGGCTGGGCAGTCCAGTGTGGTGTCCACTTGTCGGTCCATGCTTCGGTGGAGTATGCACATCGCGAACCCGTTTATGCAGTTCTTCACGTTGTTTCCAGTGGGCTTTGATGGAGGCTCTCCCAGGAGTGTGTGAACTTCTCTCAGGTGGGAATCGCGCGAGTTTCGCGCCTTGAACTTGATTGTCACGCGTTCATGGGAAGGGATGTTGGGGAAAGGGTGAACTGGTGCAGGTCCCGGTGTGCTTTTGCCCTGGTGTCATCTCTATATTCAGAATAGCCCATCGGTCCAGACAGCATGGTGGAGGTCGTTTCCCCGCAGCAGCTCCGGTCGGAGTCGCCGAGTGGGTCTCTTTTCGTCATCCTGGTGCCCTTCCACCCAACGGTACAGAACTTGCACTTTGCGCTTCCGTAGTTGCTTCTAGGACTGCTCTGCCTTCCACGCGCGCAGGTCATAGTCCCTTTTGTTTGCTGGTTGGCTCAAAAATGGATTTCAGTGCTTTCAGTGCTGCTTGGCCGTACAGCCTATGATGATCTTTCCACTGGGATGTCGAAGCGATGCACAAGAGTGAGGACCATCAGATCATGCCACCAGTCCCCCAGTTCATTCGAAGGGATGAGTGGTCTTTTGGGGGGCCTGGACACACAGTTCGCCGTTGATTCTTCTTCTGCATCGTTGCCTTCAGCACGAATGCAGCTGTACCGAAGTCGTTCTTGTATGATCCTCGCTGACTGCCACTGCCTGCCGTAAGGATTGCCATTGCCCCTTCATACCGTCGTCCTTTGGGAGGGTGGTGTGCTGGAATGCCACTTGTCACTGCTGGGGAGTTTGTCAATCACAGGGCGTGTTGAGGGTGGTGGGTTGTGGCGGGGGAGTTCATGTCATCCTCATCATCATCGGTGGGGCAGTGTGGGACGGTGGAGGGAAGGACATGGAAGATACCTCCTCTGGGTGGTGTGGGGCGGTTGCGGTTGATTCGGCGTTGAAAGGAAACAGTCTGGTACTCACAGAGTTGTTGGTCTGGTGTGGCCAGTGGGAGTCGGTACAATGGGGTCACCTGTAGTGCAGCATCAGTCCATCGAGCCTCCAGTTTCTCTCAACGGTCGACTTCGAAACCGCTTCAATCAAGTTCCGATTCAATTTCGGTTTATTCATGCCCAAGCAGTCCTTCCCGGTGGTACAAGGGGTGAGAACCGGGTTGTACATCCAGGGCCAGGTGGTATGGGGGTCTTGTATCCAGTGTCCCAAATGGAGGTGTGGTTTCAATCCCTGTTGGGGTTCGGTCAGTGTCACCCTCTAGGAAGCAAGTTTCCCAAGCTATTTTCCAGTTGGTCTCAACTGCTAACGGCAAAGATGGAGGTTGCGCGGCCATTCCAAGCTTTGCAAGTGTGGTTCAATTCTCACTTTGTTGAAGCTCTCCAGTCGAGGTGTTGTCCACCTGCGTTTGCAATGTCACTGAGTGTAATACATTGAGGTACATTCTGGCTACATTGAGCTGCCTTAGCATGTTCCTTTGTATCCTGCTTCTGCAAGGCATCCATAATGAATCTGTCGTTCTGTCGTGACATTTGGGGCTTGGCAGTGGCATCTTCGATCGAGAGGCAAGTTTGTCGCAGGATTCCACATTGTTTTGATCCAACATGGGTTCGTGCAAGCCCCCCACTGCTTGTAAGGGAGCGCAGTGATGGGTTGTGTCACTGCCCAGTTCAAGTCTGAATTGCTCCATGGCTATCTCCATGATCTGGCCTGGGTGTCCAATCGGTGAGTTTGTCCCAGTAAGTGCCGATGTGTTCTAGCTCTTGTCTCAGCCAAGGGTCAATGATGCCCATTGCTTGGAACTCGGTGGGGCCGTACAACACCTTCCTTGGGAAGTTGGTGGAGAAGGCTGCGCGGGGGAGAACTGTGGACAAAAGTGGGGTCATCATCTTGTCCCACTCAGAGTGGGTCAATCGAATGGCCCGCATCGGTAGTCCAGAGTCTTCATAATAGTGGTGGTGGTGGTGATCCAGACATCGTTCTTTTCTGCTTGACCACAACCACGAATCTTGTGGCAGAATGCCTTCACCTTCTCAGTCAGGTATGCTATCTGTGGCTTAGAGGAGCCATTGGGGGCAGGGAGGAAGCCCAGCCCTTCTCTGCTCACCTGGTTCCTTTCTGGCAAGGGTTTCGCACACCATCAGTGTCTCTCACCATGAGGTCGCCTGGCATGTCCCCTATGGGCGGTAGAACCACTTGGCGGCTGCTGGGTTCCACTTGTAGTCGAGGAGGTACCAGTAGGATTTGCCCTGGTTGAGGAGGTTATGTCTGTCGCCAGGCGTAGCAATGGCGAGCCCGACGAAGACCTTCTCCATACGTCCAGCCACTTGATGGTCTGACGTGGAGTCTCAATCCATTGATGATTTGGACCTTGAAGGTGTACTTGGCCTGTCAGCATCTGCTGGAACAGTGCGAAGTTGTAGGTGGTGGTAAGCGAAAATCGTCGATTTCGCATTCAACGTCGAGGTCGATGAGAGGAAGGATTGGTTTGTGCGCAGCTTAGACTCGAAGTGGTGTACGCGTCTTTGGAAATCTTCATGGTGAGGAAAGAGTTTGAGGGTAGCTGAAAGCTATTGTGTTTGTTAACAAAATGCACTACGCTAAAAGCTAGTGTAAAGATCTTTCGAGTGTTTTGAGTTTGAGAGAATGAAAGTTATGAGAGGATTAGAAAGCTATGAAAACTAATCAAGAGAGAGAGATCCACAATCAAAGGATCGTAGATCTGAACTCCCGCGGGAGACTGTAGAGTGTGATAGAGTAGGTTGCGGTAGCAATCCTACTCACTCCACGATCCAAAACGGAACGCGTGGAAGATTCGTCTAGCATTTATCTAGTAGCGTGGAATCTCTCCACGCCAGCTAAATATCTAGTGCGATGTTTCACCATCGACCTAGTATGACTAGCGGTCATGAGAACCATGTCTCAATGACTATTCACGAAAGACTCAGTCATGAGTCGAACTCAAACCCTATCTAGGATCGAGTCGCGAATAAGGCTAAGAGCCGTGTATTGCACCATATCTATACGACCAGGGACCTTTTGGAGTACGAGGGTGGAAACCCAGTTATCCTGTCACAGTGGAAGATTATTGTCCAAGAGTACTACGAAGGAATCCGATCTGAACTGGAGCAAGCCATCAAGGACTATGACGACGTGACACTGGAGGTAGACATTTTGAAGATGGTGATGGACGACGAAGATACCAGAGCAATCTTGGAGGGTGGAACGACTGAGAATGCTGAGGCTCCTACAGAAAGGACAACAGCCCAGCCCACTGAAGACGCATTGCCACCACCCTTTTCGGAAATGAATGATCCGGAGGGCTTTAATGCAAGACCACCATCCAAGTCCACCGTAGATCGTTTGATCACAACAGATTATCAGTATCGGAAGGAGCTACAGGACGCGGAAATGCGAAACATCCCCGCTTGTGTCCTCAAGATGGATTGGACCTATAAGTTGCCACAGAAGATTCGCGTTTGGACTGGTCCTGGTTCTTCGTTCCCACCCTACGGTAGCATGCTCACAGTGCAGAACGAGGACTCCCAGATGGTTTTCTACAAGTGCTACCCCTGTTCTGAGACGTTTGGTCCTCGAGGAGCTAAGAGTGACATGGAACTATTGAAGAAACGAATGGATCATCTGGGCTGCAAGATCTACGCTATTTACGTTGACAACTGCTGCACAGTGAGGAAGGGATTGCAAGATATTTTCCAAGACGCAGGCAGATGTGAAGCTTGATCTTTATCATTGGTGCAAGCGGACGGAGGATATTCTGTTTGATCCAAAGAGCCAAGAGGCTGCAATCGCTCGTGGTCTGATGCGTCGAGCTGTCTTTGTTGTGGAATCTAATGAATTCGAACGTGTCAAGTATGTTCTGCAGCAGCGCTGGGGTCGAGATCCAAGCAACAAGGAAATTTTGAAGGAAGCCAAAGCCACTATTCCAGGCCCAGTTGATCTGAAGGAACGTTTGGATGCAGTATTTCGTTTTATGAAATGGAACGACTGCATGGTAGAGCTGTCGGAATTGAACCTGACCACACCCACACCAGCCAATGAAGGAGAGGAGGGGTCCGATCATAGGGAGCCACGAAGGTTCTTGAAAGTTATGAACAAGGACGTGAAGCGCTCGATGGAGAACCTCATGAAGCATGTTTCCCAAGGGTGCTTGTCAGATCCGCCAGCTGAAAAGGTGAAGATGCGTCGTGTCAATCCAAAGACTGGCCGGTAAGTCAGTAAACAAAAGTTGGGTGTCTGTTGTCCATTGAACCGGCTACTAATGATACATTCCTCCTTTCTAGGGCTTTTACGGCCAGATCGACTGGCACCAATGAGGTAGACAATCGGGTCTTAAATGACATTCTCAGTTCAGCAACAGTGGGTATCGCTCGTGCAGAAAGAGTGTTGGCTGACCACTACGAGAAGTCCAATGCTAAGAAGCGCGTAAAACCTCTTGGGGAGGAAGAGGTGGTGACTACCAGAACTGATAAACTCTTGCTTTTGAATTGCTTTGCCAAATCGTGTGGATATGACAGAAAGGATTTGCCGGCGCAAGGAGTGACCGCTCCACCAAAGCTACCATTCAAAGAGTACATGGGTTTTCAGTTTGACTTGCCAGAAGCCTTCCGTCCAGTGGAAGCATCTGCCAAAGATGCAGACGATGACAATGGTGAAGAAGGTCTTGCTGATCTCGCTGAACTGATTCTAGCGACAGATGGCAGTGATTGCCAAAGAGGACGATTACGAACCACTTCCCCTTGGCTTAACCCATATCCCGGTTGAGGTTGCAGATACCCTTCCAACAATTCGAGTCTACGAGACAACACTGGAAGCGTACAAAAGATTGACAAGAGACCAGCCGTGGGTCCCATTCAAGGGATACGACAAGACTGATCACGACGATGTTGACAAGGCCGAAGAAGATCTTTTCCAGAAGCTTCGAACAGAGTACAGCCGTGGGGCTCAACCCTTCTCAGCTCGTGGATATGGAAGAATGTCTGAAAAATGGGATATTGAGGTGGCGAAACGAGTGATGCAGCAAATGGAAGAACCTGACAGTGGCACAGTGGTTATTCTTATTCGCCGCAAGACCTTTCAAATGCTGCAAGCTCACTACGACGACTTCTGTGCTCACATTCGCCGCACTCAACTTGCAGGTATCCTTCGAGACCCAGCGCAAGAAGAGTTGAACACTACATTGCGCAACAATCGTCGAAACATGGCTCCCCAACAGGCAGCAACCAACGTCCAGCCCATCCGCTACAACCAGATGCACGGTGGTGCCACTCCCTTTGGAGCACCCACTGTGTTGAATACACAAGTAGCCGCTCGCGCCATGACTTTTGCGCCACGTGAAAACATGCAGATGGCTCCATTCGCTCTCCGTGATGTGTATCCCAACCAAGTTCCCCGTCCAGCAGCAACCAATCCAATGGGGCCCAACTACAAGCGCAACAAGTACTGTGTTGTCTGTGGCTACTCCAAGCGGGAAAATCTTCAGCTTTTGAAGCAGTTCGGCTATGAATGCAAGGGCAATTGTGGACACGAGGAGTGCTCCAAATGTGGCATGCGAGTTGAACTGCACGATGCGGCCAATGCTGTTGGGCCATATTGCAAGAACGCTGCCTCCGAATCCAGCTACTACAACGACTGGTACAAGGAAGCCCCCAAAGTCAACAATCAAATTTAATTAGTTACTGTGAGGTACGTGCATGCATTGTTTTGTTTAATCCTCATCCGAATTGACCGACTCAACAACATCCGGCGTTGGTCCATCCTGCACAGATCCGTAGACGAAATTGGTGCCTGGAACAGAGTGGAGCCAGTGCCAAACTCTGTTGTTCATGAACTGAATGCTGTTGGTTGCGAGAAGAAAGTAATCGGTGGTGATAGTGCCGTAGAGATAATCATTGTAGTAGCGCTGCCAAAGCTCCAATTCAACCACTCTGTTTAAGCCCTGCTCGAGGCCTTCAATTCGATCTAGTTTCTTCTCCATGAGTAGCATAATACAGTCGTAAAAGAGTTCTTTCCTCGTGGCCTCTTCGAAAATCGCCGAATTCGTAATGTAATAATCGAGCATACCCAAAACAGCACTAAACCACTCTGGATCGATGCCCCTCCCCCACCATTCCATCACATCCAAAACATCGCAATAGTCAGGAGGAAGCGGGGTATAATACCAGCGACGATTCCTTCTTGCAACTGTTGGTTACCCATGCAAGAAGACGGAACAGCAAAGACGTTGCCTCTACGAAAGAGGATGCCAGTCGGCGATTTGCTTTTCAAAAGAACCCATTTAGCGATGAAGGAAGTTCGGGTTTTCTTTACATGACTGTAGGGGAATGTATCCCCCTTTGCCCTGACGAATGCTGCGAAGGTAGCTTTGTTAAACATGTTCGAATGTGTTCTGATCGAAATTGTGAGCTTAGATTCAAAGGTGCACCTCGAAGGTGGCTACGGCATTTCTACGTGACACCCCTACCATGCTCTCGGCCAATCAGATAATTCCATCCGGTGCAAAGTTGCACCGACTTGGCACTGTGGAAGTTTTAGTAGGGGCACGGCTGGCTTGGCTTCTCCGGACGTTTGTGCGAATAATTTCACTATGCAATTTGTACTGAACGCATTCAAACCTCAGTTGGCATTCACCTCTTTTTGACAGTTGAGGGCATCAGCCTCGGGCTGCTTGTTCTTTCACAGCTGCCGTCGAAGAACAAAGTAGCAACAAAAGAGCCCCGCTCTGGACCGTCCGACGGTTTTTGCTCAGGTTTAAAAACTGCTCAAATCGTGGTTCTGGTTAAGGGAATGTTAAGGGAATGTTGAAGCTTTAAGGGAATGTTAAGGGAATGTTGAGGATTTAAGGGAATGTTTTAAGGGAATGTTTATTTAAGGGAATGTTCATTTTTTTTAAGGGAATGTTCTATGGGGTTTACATGAAGGCTTAGAGGAATGTTTCGAAGCGTTAAGGGAATGTTGTTAAGGGAATGTTTATTTAAGGGAATGTTAAGGGAATGTTAAGGATTTAAGGGAATGTTTTAAGGGAATGTTTAAGGGAATGTTTCAACTGCAAAATTTTGAGTTTTTTTAAAACCTGAGCGAAAACCGTCGGACGGTCCTGCAAACAGCAACAACACACCACCCATCCATGACTACTCCATCTGTTTGGGTTAAGCTCGAAATTGAGGATGACAGGGAGCAAGAAGATGATCCCTTTGAGCAGAGGCAGCAAGGACCATCTGACATAGTGAGCTGCCGCCTTTGGAGTGACGAGGGCAAGCATGGGGTTTACAGGCTTCCTACAAGGTCTTGCGATGAGCTGAAGCAAGAGGCAAGTGCAAAGTTCGGTCTCTCAGAGGACGCATTAGTCAATCTTTACTTCCTTTCTAACAAGGAATATCTTAACCCGCAAGAAGATCGAAGAAGAAAGCGACCTTGAAAATTTCTTGAAACTTGCTGGAAATCCCTCTGTTCTGACTTGGGTACGAGGGACTGACGATATGTCTCCACAAGGCTCCCAGATGAGATTATTGCACCCTTCTCCGGCTCCAATGCCTCCTCCTTGTCCACATCAACTCGTGGGCATATGCAGAGGCTTTTCCAATTGGCAGTGCTAGAAAGAGACAATGAACAATGTGTTATGACCCAGACAAGATACAAAGCTGGCAGTGGCAATGTACAGGCTGCGCACATTATTCCCGCAGCAGCAGGTAGAGATGTTATGAGAAAGGCTGGGCTACACAATATCTATGACACCCGTAATGGAACGCTTCTGGAGTCAAGGATGCACGAAGCTTTTGATTCATATCTCTGGTGCACGGATGAAAACCTCAAAAAAAAATTGTCCGACGCAGCGGATGATCAAGAGAAGATCAAAGAATTGGGCTCAATAATACGGGGGAAATGTATTGGACTTCGATATTCCCAGTGAGGCTCCCACTAAGAAGGTTGATGCTCCCTTTCCTCAAACTCTCAGAGTTCGATATGATATTTTCCGTGAGCAAGTCAACCGGAGGAAGCAGAGGGAAAAAGGGAAGAGAAATAAAGGAAAGGGGGGAAAAAGCTTCCAACAGCAACCAGAGGTTTCATGTGTCTGAGATGGGGAATGCGATCATGAAAAAGTCTGATGTTGGAGCAACAATGTGCTTACAACAACCCAAGGATATCTAGCTAGCTGGAGGTAGATCGTTTCTTGGTTGGGGCCAGACAAAACAAGTCAAGACTATCGGATCATTGCGTCATCCGCAACCAGCCATCGCTCAGTCGAAAGCCAAGGCAATCTTCGCAACTAACAACAAGGACAGTCTTCTACTAGCTACCCGGTAGCTAGCATACAAAATAATGCAACAACGTTAGTTTAACATGGTTGATTCCTATACATGTAGTAGCTAGCTGGCTGGTAGTCTGGTCCCATCGACGAATTCAGATTGCAGCGATCTTGCTCAAAAAGAGACCTCTCCATGTACCGGTATCCTACTGCCAATCTCTCCAATCTCTGTCATCGGGTACAGCAGGAGTGGCATCTGGTCGTTCGCCGTCTTGGTTGTTGTGATTCAAAACATGATGCTGAACCATCCCAACTGCCCATTGGACTCCATCCCAGACAGCCGAGACAGTTTCCACTGGATGCAGCGCCCGATCCACAGCCATGCCCAGTAGATTTTGAGCAACGGGCACGACCCCTCCTTGCCGTTCAAGCTGTCTATGAACCACTCTCAAGGATTGTCGTGTCACAAGTTTGGTGCAGAGCAGCGATAATTTCCCCGCTTGAATCAGTTGTGCGGCACTCTTTTCCACGTTGGAGACAATGGGTCCGTCTTGAAAGGTATTGTAGCCATGTTGGATCACAGTATCAGCGATCACTAGGGGCGCTCCGAAAAAGGCTGTCATGACGGCGGCGGGCCAGAGTGTCATGCCCAATGCCACGGCTAGTATGGGTCGTTGAATGGCTTCGTCTTTGCCCCAATTACAGGCAGATGCAACGGCAGGACCCAACGGTGGCCACAGCACCCTGAGTCTATCCATTCTTTGTTTCTTCTTGGTCTTGCTTTCTTGGGTTTTCTCTTCGCGAGCTGGGTTTGTCGTGTCATCTTCTTCCAATAGTTCAAATCGTTCCGCTTCAATCCTTCTCCTTTCTTCTTGACGTTCTTCTTCTTGTTGAACCACGGAGGAATGACACGATTGCAAGGACGCCACAAAGAGCCGTGCCAAAGTCAAGGCCACATCGGCAATTTCATCTGCCTCATCCTTTTCAATTCCCCGCAATCCCACTTCGACATCTCGCAACAGGTAAGAAACTCCATCGAGTGCCGAGACAATGTCATTTGCTGTCAAATCGTGTGCCATTAACTGGTTGTTCGGAATTTGTTCTTCTCGTATGGCAACCGCCGCCGCCGTATCTTGCAAACAGGCATTAGCCAAGGCACGACGATCGCCGTCCGACTGCTGTTCCAATTCCTGAGCCACGTGTCCCACAGCATCGGCGAGTTCCTGACATGTCCGTACAATGGCGCTTCCTAGTAAATCGGGGTTATTGGAATGCAAATCTTCCAGGGCATTATCGGCATTGTCCAACAGTCCACCTATCGTGCCTAGCAACTGATGAATAGGTGGTTCATTGTTGCCGCTAGTAGTGATGGAATCAGGCTGTTGATTGTCAAACACAATTTCCTCTTCCAAGTTGAAGCGACTTAGAAGAGGGTCCACGGATTCCCGATCTTGGAAGGATGATGGCATGGTGATGTTCTGAATTTGCTTTTGCCTTTTCTGTGTGTGGTTTTATGACAACAGCCCGTCTCCTGCTGCATGTGGCTAGCCACGTTGACCGGTCAGTTGTTCTTGCTTCTTGTTGTGCCCCTAATCGGTGTGCAGGCAACAACTGCAACTTTGCACGGAGAGAATGATGGCCATCGTCGCCACGGGAAGTGGGAAAAACAAAGTGTCATCACAGGGCCAACCAGCAATCTCCACATCTCCAACTTCCCTCCAGCCCCAAGTGAGTGAGTCCCGTTGTGGAGGGTTCAGGTTTGAGAAAAAAGAAGCCAGCGGGTTGATTGATCTTCAATCTTCAATCACCAAGAAGACGTAGCGCACTGATGATTACTAGCTAGTAAAATAAATGCCACGATGACCCTTGTCACACGACACGAGATGCCGTACCACGGTACCGGTACCTGGGGATGAGCAAATCTTGCTATAGGGCTGTTTTGCAGTGGATAGCAACTGATATAGCTAGTTTGAATTAGATTTCTACATAGACATACATGGCACACCAAGGCCAACACTGGTGCCATGGCCACACTTTTTTCTTCTCACTTCTTCAATCTTCTTCTTCATTTTCTTCTCTCAATCATTCCTGGGCGTCTTGAACTGTTCTTCCTCGGACATGCTGCTGCCACCGGCAGTGGACTCATCCGAAACTGTGAAAACATGGGAAGGCCTGGTTTCGGTGCCAGCTGGGGCTGGGGCTGGGGCTGGAGCTGGAGCTGGAGCTGGGGCTGGAGCTGCCGCGGGGGCTGCAGCCATGGACATTCGCTGCATCAAATTGCGGAAATCTTCTTCGCTCATGGTGTTGAAGTTTTCTCTAAAATACTGGTACGCAGCTGGCGAATTCGCCTGAACATGCTCATCTCGTGCGTTGGCAGCTCTCTTGTATTGCTCATCGAGTTGTTGTGTAGTGGTGTTGAACTGCTGCCTCTGCGTCGTCAACTCTTGTTCATGCTGTCGCCTCATCTGATTGACCTGAGCTTCCTGTTGATTGAGCCGATGAAGCAACTGCGCCAACATTAGGTCTGGAGCTGGAGCAGGCACACGAGTGTTGGGAGGAGGCGGAGTTGCCAAACCAAAGAGAGTTGCCGTCCTCTGGGCCTCTTCGACCGAGACAGGAACGAATGCATCTCTAGCCTTGATGGGCTTGTTGCGCTTGGACCAAGCACCAACAGTAGTCATCAACCTTGTAGTCCTGGGAATTGTCGTATAGCAGACTGGGTTCTGCAAGCTGCCAAAGTCAACAATGCGAGGACTAACAAGGTAAGGTTCAACTGCTTCGGGTAGCGCAACAAATGCTTTGGCCCAAATGGTGCCATTGATTTCCTCATAGTCACCATCTCGAATTTCATCTTCTTCTGCCCTATTGATGGTGTTTGCGGAGTGGTTGATCCAACTGCTGTCCAACAACATCTCCATTGTGAGCCCCATTTGGCTCCATAAATCTGAACTCGATGGTCTTCATATCCTCCCGCAAGGTTGTTTCCACGGTGGTGACACCAGAGGGTGGATCAAAGCGAGCAACATACAATGTGGACACAACTCCGCGGTTGTTATCCTCCATGCTGTCATTGACATAATGACGCGTGTAGAAGCTCATGTTGTTGCCAGATTGTGGTGTCGGCGGCGGCGGCGGCGGCGGCGTTGGTGTTGGTGTTGGTGTTGGTGGAGCAGTGGTGTTGGCAACTTCTTCTTCTTCCACAAACTCGTCTTCGTCTAGCGTGCCACCCAGAATGTCGTCTTCAGCACCAAGATCTTCACCATCGTCTCCAGGAACCAAGGGAGGAGCCTCAGCAGCAGCGTTTTCAGGGATGGCTAGGCCAGCAATGGCGCGGACTTCAGGGGTGAATCCACCTTGGCCGCGAGTGGAAGGATGAATATCAATCTCGTATTGCTTCTTGGTCTGCTTGAAATTGTGGTCAACCTTGGCTGATGTCCACTTCTCGCACAGGACTTGGCCTTGAGGGGTGGCCTTAAACTCGGTGTGAGTGCAATTGCGTCTACCAGCAGCAAACTGACCAGCAACCCACTTGAGGACAATCCCAGTGTCAGTATGAGACTGTGTCCACTTTGGACCTCGTCGAGCTCTTTGTTGTGGCATGATGGAAATTGTTGTGGCACAGACGCTTCTTGACCATCGCCATCGTCCTCTCTCGGGTTTTGATGCACCGGCGGAACGGCAACCCATCGCAAAAACAGGCTGTCATGGTCATGTGATTGATTAGTTGTTCGCTGTTGAGCTTTTGTGGAGAGGAAGTGCGCCTTCGAAAAAAGTGTGCCTCCGACTAAGAAGTGAGCCTTTTTTTCGAACTGTTTTGTTTGGATTTGCATTGGATTGGATTGAATTAGATTGGATTGGATTGAATTGGATTGGATTGAATTGAAATACATTTTACTATAGAAAAAACAGTACTATTTGCAATCCAATATAATTCAATCCAATCCAATCCAATTCAATGCAATTCAATGCAATCCAATCGAACTGATGCAGTTTCCTTCAAAATGCGAATTCTTTCCTTTTTCAACTGACGTTGAAGTAGCCAGCCAGCCAAATCGCACAATACTCAATTTTTTACTTAAGAAACACGTCATTCCCGGGAGAGTTCGCGGAATCCAATTGGCCCTTGAATTGTGTTAGTAATCCCGCTAGGAAAATGACTCGGGACCTAAAATGATCCGTTTGCCCTTCGCCAGAATCAAGAAAATGCCAATCAGACCCAAAGATATAGGGACGATATCTCAATCTTAAGTATTTTGCATGGGTTTCCGAGAATTTCAGGCTCGCCTTCTAAAAGAATTGTGTGTGGGAGCCTTCCGAACGACCAAATCTAATGCGAATCCGAGCTAGCCTGCTCCATCCAACCGTTCGGAGTTGATCACTTTTTCCTCTTCGATCGCCACTATCTTCCCATCGCACTTCTTCTTACACTATTATTGAGCAAATATGCCGACCATGAGCTACTATGCCGGCATGGCGCAGCTAGCTACTAGCCAGGATGTAAGTGAATCAGTTGCGGCCATGGATAACAGGTCCAGCTTTCGTGCAATGTTGCCCTTCAATCGAACTACTTTGCTCATTCTCATTCTCGTTTGCTCCTCATTCGAATCCCAGCTCCAGGATGCCTCCAAATCCACCTCCAAATCCAAACCGGATTGATGCTGCCTACTTTTGCAGGCTTGGGAAGGTCTATCTCAGCCGGCATCCTGATTCCTTTGAAGGTGTTGACTTCCAGAGAGCCTTTCGAGAGATGTTTGGCTGTTCCCCACGAGTTTGTGTCACTTTGTGGAGGCATTGTCGAGCCCGTCGAATCCATCGTGGTGCTGATCCCAAGCATATTCTTTGGGCTCTCATGTTCCTTAAACTCTACACGAAGAACATTCCCCTTGCAATACACGGCTCTTAGCCTTATTCGCGACTCGATCCTAGATAGGGTTTGAGTTCGACTCATGACTGAGTCTCTCGTGAATAGTCATTTGAGGAGACAGGGTTCTCAATGACCGCTCTGGTCATACTAGGTTGATGATGAAACATCGCTCTAGATATTTAGCCAGCGTGGAGTACTTCCACGCTACTAGATCCAGGCTAGACAAACCTTCCACGCGTTCCGTTTTTGGAAGTGGAGATGAGTAGGATTGACTACCGCAACCTACTCTATACACTTTATAGTCTCCCGCGGAGGCAATCTACGATCCTTGATGATGATCTCTCTCGTTGATTAGTTTTCATAGCTTTCTAATCTCTCTATAACTTTCATTCTCTCAAACTCAAAACACTCGAAAGATCTTTACACTAGCTTTTAGCGTAGTGCATTTTGTTAACAAACACAATAGCTTTCAGCTACCTCAACCATTTCCTTCACCATGAAGATGGCTCAAGGAAAGCATGCGTTCCGCAACTTCGAGAAACAGTTGCGTGACAACCCATTCTTCCTCTCGTCGACAATACGAAGAAAACGAGATCGACGATACTCGTAAACCACTTGCAAACTTCGCAACCATGTTGCCAAGCGCAATCAGAAGACTCTGACAATGAGACAACTCCTCTATCAATTTCAATCACTTGGATGGAGAAATCTCTATCTGAGGATTAGGCCAGGATGATGACCAACGGAACCATGTTCCGATTTCTCATACCAAAGTGATGAAGATATCTCACTAACTAGTAAACAAGAATTGTTTGCAACTGATGAACACTACGCAAATTAGATGATTGCCTAGAAGCTGCTCAACTAGACTCTGATGATCTCATTAGCATCGTTAACCTGTCCGTGGCCAACCACCTCGTATAACGTCGAAGACAAAGACCTCAAACCCATCGTCTATGTTAGATTTAAACAAGCGAGAAAAAGGGAACCAAAAACCCGTACACTCGTTGCTTACTGGATACAGGAGCATCCGGAACCTTGATTGCTCAACCTCATGCTAAGAAATTACGCATGAAGGATCTTTGGGGCGTCCAAACATGTTGACTACCCCTGCAGAGAATAAACACCAGCACGAAGTGCAAAGTGCATTATGATTCCTGAATTCACGAAGATAGAATTATCGAGTGGAATTTACACGTCACCAAGAGCTTGGGGGCGTATGCATGCATCATAAGTCGAGACATTCTCTCTGATCTGGATTCAAGTTCGATTTCACTACCATGTCAGTGGAATGGGACGGCGCATCTATTCCTATGAAAGACAGCGACACCAATGAAGAAGAGAACTTCTTCATTCCTGATCCTACCTGTATGACAGTGCAGATCGTCTCAAGAAGATTCTTGATGCGAAATACGAACAAGCTGATTTAAGGCAGGTTTGCCAAAGTCAAGAATCAATTAAACACGGAAGAGAAGAAAACACTTCATTCCTTACTGACGAAGTACTCTGACCTATTCGATGGTACTTAGGAAAGTGGCAGATGGACGACTACGAAGTAGAATTCTCCCTGATGCTAAACCCTATCATGCAGGGCTTATCCTTTCCACGGGTCAATACCAACACTCTTAAGATGGGTTGACGTCTCTGCGACGGCAGGAGTACTCAAGAAGGTACCTTCCGAATGGGCGGCACCAACTTTTATCATTCCCAAAAAGATGGATCTGTACGATTCATCTTTGATTTCCGGAACTGAACAAAAGGATTAAGCGGAGCCTTATCCTATCCCAAAAACAGGACATGCTCTTGAATCTTAGACGGATTAAAGTACGCTACTAGTTAGACCTGAACATGGGATACTATCACATCGAGCTTTCACCTCACTCGTAAGCAACTCTGTACCATCGTACTCCCGTGGGGAAAGTACGAGTACCAGAGGTTGCCAATGGGCCTATGTAATAGTCCCAACTCTTCCAAGAGAAGATGGAACACTAATGCACGACCTAGAATACGTCCGTGCATACATGAATGATCTACTCATCCTAACTAACGGCGATCAGCAGATCACGTTGAAAAGTTGGATGAAGTTCTCCGAAGCTTCGAGAAGCCGGACTTAAGACAATGCTACCAAGTCCTTCTTCGCAAGAGGAGAACTTGAATACTAGGTACTGGATTACTCGAGAAGGGATCCAACCTATAACCAAGAAAATAGACGCGATCCAGAAATCGCTTCCTCCTACACAAAGAAAAGAACTCTGTAGATTCATTGGACTAGGGAACTACTATCGAGACTGTGGATTAGACGATCACATGTACTGGCCCCACTCGCTTCGTTGACTTCCAAAACAACGAAGTGGAAATGGGGGCGGAACACGACAAGGCCTTTAGCCAGATGAAGAAGATCATCAGCAAGAAACCTTTTGCTCCCTTACCCTGACTTCAACGATACTTTCGTTATCCACACGGATGCAGTGATACTCAACTAGGTGCGGTAATTTCCAGAAGGGAAAACTATCGCGTTCTACAGCAGAAAGCTCAACCCTGCTCAAGACACGTTACACAGTTACCAGAGAAGGAACTTCTCAGTATCGAGAAACTTAAAAGAGTTCCGATAACATTCTTCTAGGACAGAAGATTGTTGTACATACGGACCACAAGAATCTTACATGTAAGAACTTCAATCCGATCGCGTAATGCGATGGCGCCTTATTCTGGAAGAATACGGCCCTCGAACTACGGTACATCAAGGGCGAAAGAACATCGTCGCTGATGCGTTGTCGAGACTTAACATCTCCAACAACGACGGTTCTTCAGAACAAATGGAGCCAGCGAGATGCTGAGCTCATGGCTGCAACGAAGAGGACTTCCCTAGCGAGTTCCCTCTCTCGTTCCCCGAAATCGAACATCGTCAGAAAGACGACAAGATATCCAACAACTCCTCAGGGACAGCCACACGACTACAAGAAGCAATCTTTCCCAGAGGG